CTGAATTGCACTACCTATATTTCTGTCACGACACACACACTGTAATTAAAATGCCTGCTATATCCCCATCTGTGTACAATCCCACTCGTGTAAATTCCGTGGGAGCGCTGGAGTTCTACGGTATCACATTTACAATTCAGAAATGTAGAGATCAAAACCCCAAGGAGCGAAACTGCATATACTTATTATGACTCCAAAACAAAATCTGGGACTAAATATCTTGAAGTAAATACCTCACATCCTGACTCCCCAAAGCCTGTCCACCATGCACAAGGTAACAATTAGACGTGCGATGGAATACTCTGCTCATGTAGAGGGGAGCAGTGAAAAAAAAAGCATTGAAGACGTTTAGCACCATCCAGGGCTCAAAAAGAATAGCAAAGTCAATCTGGCAAATACCACCCGATCAATCCAATCTCGATCACTAAAATGTGAAGGAAAGTGTCATCAGCAGTGATATCAAGCTGCACACATTTGAAACAAAACCTGCTTAGTGATACATAGTTTGGATTGTGCCAAGTCCACTCAGCTTCTGACCTCATTAGAGACTCGGTTAAAACATGGAGAAAAGGTCAGAATGTTAAAGATGGGTGAGTGTTGAACATCAAGCCTGCTTTTGACCGAGTGTGACATCAAGAAGCCCGAGCAAAACTAGAGTCAACAGGAATCTGGAGAATCTCTCCGTTGGTTGCTCTCACAGCAGGATCAAAGCAAGATGGTTGGGGTTAGTGGAACGCAGTAATCACAGCTGCAGTATATCTGTGCAGAGTTCCTCAGAGTTATGTCCTGGGCCCAGCTATCTTCAGCTGCTTCATCAACAACCTTCCTTCTATCACCAAGTCAGAAGTGGGGATGTGTGCTGATAATTGCATAATGTTCAACAGCATTTGCAATAACTCAAATACCAAAACAGTCAATTTTCAACTGCCATGAGACCTGTATAATATCCAGGCTTGCGACAAAAGTGACAAATAATATTTCAGCCATATAAATGCCACATAATAGTCAACCCGAACAAGAGAGAATCAAAAGACTTCTCTTTGACATTAAATGGGATTGCCATCGCTGCATCTTGGCTTGAGAATTGTCATTGACCGGAAGCTGAACTGGACTGGCCAAATTAATACAATTGTGAAAGAACACGCCAGAGGCTAGGAATCTTTTCGGCAATAACTCACTTCCTGAATCCCAGAAGCCTGACCACCACTTACAAGACATGGCTTAGCATTATGACAAAATACCTCCCACTTGATGACTCCAGCTCTAACAATACTAAAGAAGTTTGACACCGTTGGAGAAAACAAACATTCCTCTTGCTAGCTATCATATCCACAAACGTCCATTTTTTTTTTTTTTTACCACTGGTATTCAGTAGCAGCAATTGGTACCATATGCTTGGTGCACTGTAGGGATTCACCAAAGCTCCTTGCACAGCACCTTCCAAATCTATGACCATCTAAATGGTCTTGGGGGACAGATAAATGGGAATATCACTATCTTAAATTTCCCTTGAAAGCCACTCAAGATCCTGATTTGGAAATATATGGCCATTGCATCAGTATCTTTTGCACAATGAATTGAATGAATGAATTAGCTTTATTGTCATGTCCCATGAGCACAGTGAAAAGTTTACAAGTCCCCGTTCATGGTGGCATCTTAGGTACAAGTTAACTCGATGCTGTTTCTTGACCACATTTCTTCCGGGACAAAAAAAGAAAAAAAAAGAAACAAAATAGAGCCAGCATTACAGACTCTAGGAATATTGGGAAAAAACAGAGAAATAAAAAAAGTCAAAACAACGGTCCTTCCAACCCAGTTCAGGCTGGCATATACTTTCCAGTCCACGCCAGGTCTTGATTTCAGACCGGTCCGGGTATCACTTCGAGGCTCTTGAGAACGGGAAACCACTCTGGAATCACCTTGAGGCTGGAAGTCCACGCTGTGGCCGCGTCAGTCCCAACAACTGCCACAGACCGCTGAAGACCGCTACTTAATCACTGAAAAACTACCACGCTCGGCTGAGAGACAGCCACGTCTGGCCAGGAGACAAATACAACACCTTTCACCCCAACCTTAAGTTAACCTCGACCATCTCTGATACCTCTCTCTCCTTCCTGGACCTCTCTGTTTCCAACTCTGGCAACAACCTCGAAACCGATATCCATTTCAAGCCAACCAACTACCACAGCTACCTAGGATACACATCCTCCCACCGACCCTCCGGCAAAAATGCCATCCCCTATTCCCAATTACTTCGCCTCCGCTGCATCTGTTCCCAGGATGAGGCATTCCACTCCTGAACAGCTCAGATGTCCTCGTTTTACAAGGGGCGTAACTTCTCCCCCTCGGTGGTCGAGAACGCCCTCGACCGTGTCTCCCGCATTTCCCGCAACTCATCCCTCACATCCCCTCCACGCAATAACAACCAAAGCAGAATCCCCCTCGTCCTCATGTACCACCCCACCAACTTCTGGATCCAACGCATCATCCTCCGACACTTCCGAGATCTGCAATCCAACACCAAAGACATTTTTCCCTCCCCACCCTTATCTGCTTTCCGGAGGGACCACTCTCACCGTGACTCCCTTGTCCGCTCCATACTCCCCTCCAGCCCCACCACACCTAGCACTTTTCCATGCAACCGCAGGAAGTGTTACACCTGCCCCTACACCTACCCCCTCACTCCCATCCCAGGCCACAAGAAGACCTTCCACATCAAGCAGATATTCACCTGCACATCTGCTAATGTCGTATACTGTATCCGCTGTTCCAGATGTGGCCTCCTTTACATCGGGGAAACCAAGCGGAGGCTTGGGGACCGCTTTGCGGACCACCTACTCTCGGTTCGCACTAAACAACTGCACCTCCCAGTCGCAAACCATTTCAACTACCCCTCCCATTCCTTAGACAACATATCCATCCTGACCCCCCTGCAGCGCCACAACGACGTCATCCGAAGGTTGCAGGAACAGCGCCTCATATTTCACTTGGGAACCCTGCAACCCAATGGTATCAATGTGGACTTCACAAGCTTCAAAATCTCCCCTCCTCCTACTGCATCCCAAAACCAGCCCAGCTTGTCCCCACCTCCCTAACCTGTCCTTCCTCCCACCTATCCCCTCCTCCCATCTCAAGCCCCAACCCCATCTCCTAACTAAGATAACAATAGTAGAGCTGGATGAACACAGCAGGCCAAGCAGCATCAGAGGAGCAAGAAGGCTGAAGTTTCGGGCCTAGACCCTGAAGAAGCTGTGTTCATCCAGCTTTAGACCTTGTTATCTCAGATTCTCCAGCATCTGCAATTCCTACTATCTCTGAAACAAGTTTAACCCCATCTCCTAACTACTAGCCTCATCCTGCCCCTTGACCTGTCTGCCCTCCCTGGACTGACCTATCCCCTCCCTAACTCCCCACCTACACTCACCTTTACTGGCTCCACACCCGCCTCTTTGACCTGTCTGTCTCCTCTCCACCCATCTTCTCCTTTATCCATCTTCTATCCGCCTCCCCCTCTCTCCCTATTTATTTCAGAATCCCCTTCCCCTCCCCCATTTCTGAAGAAGGATCTCGGCCCGAAACGTCAGCTTTCCTGCTTCTCTGATGCTGCTTGGCCTGGCTTGTTCATCCAGCTCTACACCTTGTTATCTCAGATTCTCCAGCATCTGCAGTTCCTACAATGCCAGACCTGCAGGTTGGCACCCCAGGCCGAGACGATGCCTCACTGAGTCTGCACTGAGGCAGGCAGTCTGAGGCCAGGAGTCTAACGCCGAGAGTCCTCCCTTTCGGCATTTTAATTCTAGCTGCATCACATGGACAACAGCGGTTCAGGAAGGCATCTTACCAACACCTCCTCAAGTGCAACTGGTGTTGAATCATAGATGCAAGCCCAACCAGCGATGCCAACGAATGAATTAGAAATAAAAATTTTGTTTAATCATGACTGTTGCTGGAGACTGAGTTTTAGGTTTTGGAGTGAATGGATACAGCTAGGACTTTTCTTGTTATTAAGAGATGAAGGGTTATGCTGCTTGAGACATTCCACCAGTCTTTCGGAGGCACACTTTACATACCAATTATCACACAGACATTGACATTCATATGTCACCTTAATCAGTTATGATATTGATAGAAAAAAAAATATTAAAATTTACTTGTATCTGGTCTGAAGAATACTTCGAGTCGTAATTATATTATTTTCATGAAAAAAGATGATATTTGGAATGGGAGTATACAGGTGAAGAATAATTGGAAACAAGAAACAGAAGGTGCTGGAAAAATTGAGCAGGTCTGGCAGCATCTGTAAAGAGGAATTAGAGTTAACGTTTCAGGTCGGGTGGCCCCTCCTCAGATGTGAAGGTAGATAGGAAAATGTCGGTTTCTATGTAGAAGACAGGGTTTGGTGAGGGAGTAAGGAGTAAACAGTTGGTGGGGATAGAGCACAAAGAGAAAGAAGAACATTTGGACAGACAAAGGAGTGAATAACGATCTCGCTGGGAGAGTGAATAGCTATCAATGGAGACTGTTAGTGGCTAACAATAGGTAGTGTGCAACAGCAGATTATATGATACCAAGGCCTGGTGTGTGTGGTAGGGGATAGGACATGGGAGAGTTCAGGTTCTAAAGTTGTTGAACTTGATATTGAGTCTGGAGGGCTGCTGGGTCCCAAGAGGAAAGTGAAATGCAGCTCTCCCAGCTTGCACTGAGTTTCGCTAGAACATTGCAAAATTCCTAATTCAGAGCTTTTGATCACGGAACAGTGAGGTGTGTTAAAATGGTAGGCAACTGAAATCTCGGGGTCGTTTCTGCAGGCAGAACGTAGATATTCTGCAAATTTGTCAGCTAGTCTATGCTTTGTTTCCCCAATTTAGAGGAGACCACATTGTGAGTAACGAATGCCGGAGACTAAGTTTTGTGAAGTGCAGGTAAAGTGCTGCTTAACCTGGAAGGAATGCTTGAGTCCTTGGATACTGTGAAAAGAGGAGGTAAACGGCCGGTTGCAGGGGAAGAAGCTGAGGGGCTGTGGGGTACCATTGGGTGTGAAGGAGGAGTGGACCAGTGTGTCCCGGAGGGAACAGTGCCTGCAAAAGACGGACAAGGAAGGGGAGGGAAGTATGCGTCTGGTGGTGGCACCTTCGCGGGAGGTGACGGAAATGGTGGTTCATGATCTTCTGAACGTGGATGCTGGTAGGATGGTAGGTAAGAACAAGAGGAAACCTATCACTGTTGCGGGAGGGAAGGGGTTGAGTGTGGACGTGTGGGAGATGTGTTGGACTCAGTTGGGAACCCTGTCGACAACAGTACTGGGGAATCCTCAGTGGATGAAGAAGTTGGACATTTTGGAGGCTCCCGTGTCAATTTTGGCCTCATCAGATCATATGCGCTGAATATGGAGGAACTGGGGAAAAAGGAAAGGAGTCTTTACAGGAAGCAGGGTGCGAGGATGTATAGTCCCAGTAGCAGTGGGAGTTGGTGGGTTTACTGTGGATTTTAGTGAACACTTTATTCCCAGAAGTGGAAACAGAGGTATCAAGGAAGGGAAGGAGGAGTCAGTAATTGAGCAGGTGAAAATGAGGGTAGAGTGGAAATTGGAAGAGAAATCGATAATCTTTTCCAATTTCAGTCGAGGGATGGAAAAAGCGCTAATGATATCATCAATATATTAAATAAAGAGTTGTGGGAAGGGTCTGGAATAGGACTGGAACAAAGAATATTCCACATAGCCCACTAAGAGGCAGACAAAGCCGGGGTCTGCCCTTATACCCATGGTAACGCCTTTGACCCGAAGAAAATGTGAGGAATGAAAAGAGAAGCTGTTCAGGGTGAGGATGAGCTTGGCCAAGTTGAATAATGTGGTGGTGGGTCAGGACGGTTCAGGCCTTTCTTCCAGAAAGAAGCAGACAGAGTTGAGACCATCCCGGTGGGGGACAGACAAGCAAAGGGATTGAACGTCCATGGTCAAGAGGAGGCAGCTGAAGCCTGCAAACTGAAAATTCTAAAAATGACATAAAGCGTCAGAGTAATCGTGGGTGTAAGTGGGAACAGACTGGACCAGGGGAGAAAAGTCCGAGTCAATGTAGGAAGAAATGAGTTCTGTGTCGCAGGAGCAGGCAGAAACAATGGGTGCTCCTCGGCTGTCTTCTTTGTGGATTTTCTGAAGCAGGTAGAAGTGCGGAGCTGGGGACAATCAGTATCAAGTCAGTGGTGGGGAGATTATCAGATGAACTGATGTCAGTGACGATAGTTGATACAACGTCCTGATGTTCCATCATGCAGTCATTGTCTCGGGAAGATAGGCGGAGTTATCTGAAAGCTGGCATTCAGCCTCTGCAATATAGAGGTCACTACGCTAGACTGCAACATCACCACCATTGTTCACAGGCTTAATAACAAAGTTAGGGTTGGATCTAAGCATATGGAGTGCAATCAGTTCAGAGGTAGACAGGTTGGATTGGCTGAGGTGGGGCAGACAAATTGAGATGGTAAATGTCACGTCAATAGTTCTCAATGAACAGATCACGTGAAGGCAAAAGACCAGAGTGAGGGGTACAGGAGGAGGGACAGTGTTGGAGCTGGGCGAACGGGTCCATGGGATGGGGAGAGGACTCTTGACCAAAGTAATTGGCATAGATGCAAAGGCAGCAGAAGAAGAGTTTGACGTCATGTTGTGGCTGAAATTCATTAAGGTGTGAACTCAGAAGAATAAAACTGAGACCTTTGCTGAGTATAGAAATTTCAGCATCAGAGAGTGGCAGGTTATGAGGGATGATTAACACCCGACAGGATGTGGGGTTCGGGGAGGGTATGAAGTCAGAGGGAAGGAGAAGGGAAAAAGGCTCCAGTGGGCCATGTGTATCTCTGAGTTGCTGCAAATTGTATCATCTTGCAGCATTGATTCCTGCTTCCTGTAAAGACTCCATTCCATTCTCCCAGTTCCTCTGCCTCATCACATGTGTTCTGATGAGCCCAACATCGAAATGTCCACTTTCTTCCTCAACCGAGGATTCTCAAGCACTGTTGTTGACAGGGCTTTCAATACTTTTATTAAGGATTTTGTTCAGGGGGCAGGAATATGGAGCTTGCGTGGCAGCCCAGACATCGTCAGCATAAACGCTTATGAGAATTTGTTTTTGGCACGTCATTTGTGCAAATATTGAACTGTGTATCAGTCATCTCTGAGCTTTTGTTCATCCATCGGCCAGTCAGTTCCACGCACTTTCCTTTTCTTCAAGATGTCTCTGAATTTTCAGTCGAGGGAATATTTTTAAATATTGCGTGCAGTTTTGGCCCCTGTACCAAAGGAAGCATGTGCTATTGTTGGAGGGAGTCTAGGTGAGGTTTGCAAGAATGATTCAATGAATGAAGGTCTTGGCATACAAGGAGCAATTGTGGATTCTGGATCTGTACTTGAATGAGTTTAGAATGATGAGGTAGAAATCTGATTGAAATTTACAGAATACTGAGAGGCCTGGATAGCATCAACGTGGAGAAGACGGTTCCACGAGTCGAAGAGAATAGGACCTGAAAGCAGAGCCTCAGAGTGACGTAGGGACCCGTTAGAACTGAGGTGAGGAGGAATTTCTTCAGGCAGGGGATGGTGAAAATGTGAAACACATTGCCACAGAAGGCTGTGAAAGCCAAGTCATTGGTTGTATTTAAAATAAAAAAAAATACGTTCTTGATTATTAAGGTTACAAGGAGCAGGTAGGAGAGCGGGTTTGAGAAAACATATCAGCCGTGATCGAATGGTGGACTTAACTCGATGGGCCAAATGACCTAATTCTGTAGCTATATCTTATGATCGAATCGGATCGGAAGCTCCCTGGACAGATTTAAAAGCCGTCCATTGCATCGTTCTTTATTGGAGGTGGTGGTGAGGTCTAGCAGCACTTTATTCGTATTATGATCTTTTCAAAAACATTTTCAATGTTGTTTCTGAGTGCAATGTGTTGTGTTTAGTGATCTGAACGTGAAATTGCTGTTTACTGCGGCTACTGATCTGTTTACTATAGTTACTAAATTGAGCAATAATTACATAGAAACGTAGAAAGTATGTGCAAGAAGAGGCCATTACGCCCTTTGAGCCTGCACATTCATTCAATACGATCACGGCTAATCATTCAATCTCAGTATCCCATTCCCGCCCTCGCCCCATACCCTAAAAGGATCAATAAGGGCCATAAGGGCCATGTGCAGCTGCTTCTTCAATATATCTAATGTACTGGCACCAACAGCGTTCTGTGATTGAGAATTCCACAGGTTCACACCTCTATGAGTGAAGAAATTCTTCCTCATTTCAATCCTGAATAGCTTACCCCTTATCTTAGACTGTGGCCCCTTGTTTTGGGCTTCCCTAACATTGGGAACATTCTTTCTGCATCTAGCCTGTTCAGTTCAATCAGGATTTTAAATGTTTCAATGAGATCTCCCTCATTCTTCTAAATCCCAGCGAATACAAGACCAGTCAATCCATTATTTCTTCATATGTCAGTTCTGCTATCCTGGAAATCAGTCTGGTGAACATTCGCTGGAATTCCTCAATAGTAAAAATATCCTTCCTCGGACTAGAAAACCAAAACTGCACACTATGCTCTAGATTTGGCCTCACCAAGGTCCTGTATAAGTGCAGCAAGACATCCTTGCTCCGATACTCAAATCTTCTTGCTGTGAAGGACAGCATGTCGTTAGCTTTCCTCACCATCTGAAGCATCTGCATGCCAACATTCAGCATCTGTTCCATCATGACATCCAGGTCTCGTGGCACGTCACCTTTTCCTCAACTTCTGCATTCAGATAATATTCTGCTTACTCGTTTTTGTGACCAAAGTGGGTAACCTCATATTTATCCACATTTTATTGCATTTGTAAAGTATTTGCCCACTCAGCCATTCCGTACAAGTAATCCGGCAGCCTCTTAGGATCCTCCTCACTGCACACACTGCCACCCAGCTTAGTGTCATCTATAAATTTGAAGACGTAGCATTAAATTCCTTCGTATAAATCGCTAATGTATATTGTGAATAGCTGAGGTCCCAGCACTGAGCTCTGTGGCACCCCACTCATCACTGACTGCCACTCTGAAAAGGACACAATTATTCCACCTCTCTGCTTCTTGGTTGCCAACCAGTTCTCGATCCATGTCAATACATTACCTCTGATACCATGAGCTTAAATTTTCCTTACTAATCTCTTGTTTGAACGTTGTTAAAAGCCTTTGAAAGTCTAGATAAGCAACATCTACTGATTCACCATTGTGTACTGGTCATATTCTCAAAAAACCCAGACGATTTGTCAAGTATGATTTCCCTTTAATGAATCTATGCTGACTCGGACTGATTTTGTTCCTGCTTTCCAAATGGTCAGATATTACATCCTTAATGATTGACTCCAGCATTTTCCCACCACCAATATCAGGCTAGCTGGCCTATAATTCTCCATTTTCTCTCTCTCCACTGTTTTTTTTTTAAAGAGTGGACATACATCAGCTATCCTCCAGTCCATTGGAACTCTTCTAGAGTCTACAGAATGCTGGATAATGATTACAAATGCATCTGCTATTTCTAGGACCACTTCATTAAGTACTGTGGGATGCAGACCATCGGGCTCTGGGGTCTTATCAGGTTTTAATCTCATTAGTTTCCCCAACAGCATTTCCTGACTATTAAAAATTTCCTTCCATTCCTCCTTATGCTTGACCCTCTGTCTCCTAGGTTTTCCTGAAGATTATTTGTGTCCTCCTAAGTGAAAACAGTTTGAATTAAAATTAGAATCCCTACAGCATGGAAACAGGCTATTCGGCCCAACAAGTCCACACCACCCCTTAGTGCACCCCACCCAGACCCATCCCGCATAACCCACCTAACCTGCACGTCCCTGAACACTATGGGTAATTTAGCATGACCAATCCATTCTAGCATGCATACCTTTTGACTATGGGAGAAAACTGGAGCACCCAGCAGAAACCCACGCAGACACAGGGACAACATGCAAACTCCACACAGACAGTTGCCCGAGGATGGAATCGATCCCGAGTCCCTGACACTGTAGGGCAGCAGTGATAACCATTGAGCCACCATGCCACCCTATAGGTTTTTCCTGACAATTGGTGATGGATTTATGGTCATCATTAGACTCTCTTAAATCCAGGTATTTATTGAATTCAAATTCCACCATCTGCCATGGCAGAA